AGTATTATAATTATTTATATAGTCATACATCATCAATTCTTTGACATTGCCCTTTCGTACCAATGATTTGATAATATCTAATTTGTAGGATAAAATTATGAAATGTCAAAATCAATAGTCAATGGGATTAAAATATTACTTTTGGAGAACATTTCGTTTTCCATGCTCAATAAAATCTATTACGAAAGAGATAGTCATTTTAATTTGTTTTAATAATGATAACGATCATAGTCACAGTTTAATGATATTTTTAAAGTATCTTAACAAGTTATGAATTACTATAGTTATTTTTCTGTTGACTTCATTATGGTAGGGTAAAATTAAAAAAATACAATGAAATAAATTTTAATTTATCGATTACAGTAGTCGAAAACTATAACAAAATTCCAATTGCACATTAATAGTCGAAAAATTTATAGTAATGTTATATATATATGCTGATAGCATAAAATTTATTTATATTATCTTAAATTGAGATAACAGATTAATCATAATTATGATTAATGTGTTTCAAAATATTTAAGCTTAATTATGTATTAAAAATGGAGCCAAGTAATTACATTGCTAAACATTAGCTAGAACTTAACTACTTCCTTAAAGCATAACGAAGATTTTATTTCATTATATTCCTGAAACAATACAAAAAATATATAGGGAAAAAAATCAAATGAATACAAATAAACTTAGCAATTATACAAGTAATAAGCTTTCGAAAAATCAATTTATAGCTCCACAAACAGTTCTTATGATCCCATTTTGACCAGTTAGAGGACTAATATCTCCCATTTTAATCATGGCTGCAGCAAAATCAGAGGCAAATGCTCGAGGGCTATTGCTATATTCTAAAACAATATCATCAGTAGATCCTCCACTCAAAAGAACTTGATCAGATTGAAGAAGACCTTTTCTTTGCCTCAAATTCTTGAAGTAGTTGTTATCCAATTGATTAGGTGTTACCATATCAAGTGGAGCTAGGTTTCCATTTTGATCTTCTTGAGGACACTGACGTCTTCTAGTGCTAGCAAATCCAGCATCAATGTCTGTTCCATTGCTATAAATTCTATCACGGAAAAGGAAGCATTGTGCTTGTCCAATTGAATGTGATCCTAGAATTAATCAGAAAATTTAAAAAGTTAGAACTTGTTATAAATATGTACAAATAATCTATATATGATCGATATCAATAATTTGATCGAGTTTTACCTGATAAAGCAACCATATCCCTTGTGCTAAGGCCTTTGTTGTCAAAGCCAGAAATAAGCCTACTAAGAGGATCGAAAGGACCGGGAAGATCAGTTTCTGCAAGAGTATGACTTGCAGTGGTTGAATCTCTTCTTCCGAGTTTCATTGTCCATGATGGACCGCCAACCTGATTGTTATTAACGTAACATTAATTGGTTAGAATAAAAAAAAGTTTCTTCTTTTCATAGTGTGAAAAAGTGAAATGTACTTACGAGACTTGATGCATCTCTAGCAGCAACTGCAAGTATGTCAGCACACGATACAACTCCAGGACATGTTTTCTCAACCTCTCTTTTGCATCTTCTATAATACCAAAGCCTCTAACTGATCCAAGATTTGGCAGCGCAGTCTTCTCGCTGACAATCGTTGGAGTGTCATCAAGCAAGAGAGAAGCATCACAACCCTATAAAAGTTAAAGCCGCAAATTATATATAATTAGTATTAGTATAATATTATGCATGTCATCAAACCAATAAATTAAAAGTAGTTCGATAAACATATAGATTAATGTATATATCCAACTTGACCAAAACAATCATGGAAATGAAGACGAATGAGGGATGTAGCCATACGACGTTCGCTTGAAATTGCTTGTCTTATACTTGTACGAATAGTGGTGAGAGCATTAGGGCAAGTTCGGTCGTAAAATGTGGAAGAAAGTTGTGCATGGCATTGCATGGTAGAGAGTAGAAGAAGAGAAAATATAGCAACAAAAGAGTTGTTTGAACTTGTCATTTTGAAATTAAAATGCAAAGTTTGTTGAAAGAATTATAGATGTTTATTATCTTTGTGATGTGTTGAGGGAATAATAATGTTTCACTCAAATATTTATAGGCATAAAAACACGTTATTTTAAATCTCTTTGGTCACTATTGGCTGCCAATTGCATAAAAACACGTCTTTGCTATTCTTTTGACTTGTTCTAATCTCTTTGGTCACTATTCGCTACCTATTGTTGTACTGGACTTGTAGGTGAAATGGATCCGTACCATGTGGGATGGGGTGGGGACAGGGCAATGATTATTAGGAATTCAAAAATATTGACATAAGCTTACAAATTATTATATATTAAAAAATTATTTTATATAAACAATCTATATCGAAAATCTAGTGTATAAAAAGAATTATGTGACATCTTACTTATTCCTAGCTACGGTTGTGTACTGGTCGATTCAGTTTGGTTTTGAAGTATATTAGTTCGACCCATCGATTATCAGATTGTAGAAATGCTAAACTGTTATAGAACTATTAAGATATTAGTTTATCGGTTATTGGTTTATTAGTTATTAATCATTATCGATTTAACTTTTAAGATTTGAAAAAAAAAATTTGAAAATCACTTAGAAACTAGGTGAGAAATCAAATGAACCATACACAGGAGTTGATCGACCGATTGTCTTTTCCTCAAAAGCAAACACTGTCACATTGTACAATAATCGTAAATTTGAGACAACCTGAAATAAAGATATGAAACTTAACTCTAAGTCGAGAACTTTATATACCGGATAGTACAAATATAATATTTTTTATTTACTATCGGGTTGTTAGTTAGCCCGTTAAGTAAAAACCTAAAACCGTTAGAATCGATAGCCCGACGAAAAAAAATTAAAATTGTTACCGAAATCGCTAATCCAATGATCCACTATCGATAAGTTAATAACTGTTTTTCAATTCAAACTATCAGTTTTGATTCGATTTTGAAACTATTCCTAAGTTCTGTCAAGCTAGAAAACTTCATGATTATATATTTTGTATTTTGTATTATAATGGAATGACATTTTCCAATAATGTAACATAGATTTGGTCATTACGTTGAAAGTTAACTGGTGATATCATCATTAGAATAAGAATTAGTGAAGCTCCAGCTAGCAAGCATTTACAGTAGAATATTATGCATGCATTCTTCAATATTATATATTCTGATTTTATTTTTTTAATTATTTTCAACATTATCAGAGTAATTTCAAATAAAGTTCAATACATTACAATTTAATATATATTTTTTATTTAACTTAATTATTAATATTATAACTTACTTGATTTGATATAAATATTAAGTTTAAAACAATTTTACTAGACACAATCTACAATATGCACCGTAATTTGCGAGTTAGTTTTTATCTTGTTACTTCATTCATTTTTGGTTGCTACACCATGTTACACCCCAAGTTAACGCGTAAGAACATGGCTTATAGTAAATAGAATATATTTTTTACTATTGTTGTTTGTTTAATTTATTTTGTTCAAAGTACAATTACATTATTTGAAAAAGGGGAAATGCTAAAATATATATGTCATCGAATTTTGAGAAAAAACTCATCTATGTCATTCGTTAAGTGTTTGACTTATCTATGTCATTTTAGTTAATAAATAATGGAATGAATGAGCTTTTTCTCAAACGAAAATGACATAGATAAATTGAATTTTCAATGAATGACATATATGAGTCTTTTCTCAAAGTTCGACAGCATATTTGAACCTTTTATGTTTGAAAAAAGAACAAAATCACTCTTTATTCAATGATTTGACATTTTAAGAAACATTCAAGATCCAACTTTTGAATCGGAATTCGACCCCAACCTAAGACTTGACCCCGACTCCCGACCCCAACATCCGATCTGAGTACCGTGTGGTTTGATACTCACCCCTTGCTTCTACAAATTTTTGTAGGTTACGAGCCTGGATTTTTGTGGTACTTGTCATTCTCTTCTTTTCCAAGGCTTCTCGTGGAGGTTTGTGAGGTAGATGCTTGTCATTTCAGCGGACCTTCTTACTCCTATTTATGATCTTGTTCTATTCTAGAAACAATGTCATTTTAGACTTGTGTTTTCTTTTGAATCAATTGTAATACTTTAGAGGCTTGTACACGTGACAACCAGATTTTGAGGGTATTTTTGAGTTGATTATAAAATTTCCGCATTTTATTGTAATGATTGAGTTTTAGGCTGATTTGTCTTGGTGGGATAAGACGAGTGCCATCACATCCATTTTCGGGTCGTGACATTGATACTTTTAGACTGGTGGGTACGTACGGAGAAAGTGGATGCAGGCAACTTATGTAGAACACCACGCTATAAAAGTTGGACTTTGGAATAGCTAGTTAAACAGAAAGGATAGCATCTAATAGTTTAATGTCAAAATAGTTGTTATTTGACAAATGTGAGTATTATAACTATTTATGTAGTCAGACAATATCATCAATTCTTTGACATTGCCCTTTCGTACCAATGATTTGATGATATCCAATTTGTAGGATAAAATTATGAAATGTCAAAATCAATAGTCAATGGGATTAAAATATTACTTTGGGAGAACATTTCGTTTTCCATGCTCAATAAAATCTATTACGAATGAGAGTCATTTTAATTTGTTTTAATAATGATACCTATCATAGTCATTGCTTAATAATATTTTAAAATTATTTTAACAAGTTATGGATTACTGTAGTAATTTTTCTGTTGACTTCATTATGGTAGGGTAAAATTAAAAAAATATAATGATATAAATTTTAATTTATCGATTACAGTAATCGAACAACTACAACAAAATTCCAATTGCACATTTATAGTCCAAGAATTTATAGTAATGTTATATATGCTGATAGTATAAAATTTATATATATTATCTTAAATTGAGATAAAAGATTAATTATCATTATAATCAATGTGTTTCAAAATATTTAAGTTTAATTATATATATTAAAAATGGAGCCAAGTAATTACACTGCTAAACATTAGCTAGAACTTAACTACTTCCTTAAAACATAACGAAGGTTTTATTTCATTATATTCCTGAAACAATACAAAAAATATATAGGGAAAAAATCAAATGAATACAAATAAGGTTAGCAATTATACAAGTAATAGGCTTTTGAAAAATCAATTTATAGCTCCACAAACAGTTCTTATGATCCCATTTTGACCAGTTAAAGGACTAATATCTCCCATTTTAATCATGGCTGCAGCAAAGTCAGAGGCAAATGCCCGAGGGCTATTGCTATATTCTAAAACAATATCATCGGTAGATCCTCCACTCATAAGAACTTGATCCGATTGAAGAAGACCTTTTCTTTGCCTCAAATTCTTGAAGTAGTTGTTATCCAATTGATTAGGTGTTACCAAATCAAGTGGAGCTAGGTTTCCATTTTGATCTTCTTGAGGACACTGACGTCTTCTAGTGCTAGCAAATCCAGCATCAATATTTGTTCCATTGCTATAAATTCTATCACGGAAAAGGAAGCATTGTGCTTGTCCAATTGAATGTGATCCTAGAATTAATTGGGAAATTTAAAAAGTTAGAACTTGTTATAAATATGTACAAATCTATATATGATCGATATCAATAGTTAGATCGAGTTTTACCTGATAAAGCAACCATATCCCTTGTGCTAAGGCCTTTGTTGGCAAAGCCAGAAATAAGCCTACTAAGAGGATCGAAAGGACCGGGAAGATCAGTTTCTGCAAGAGTATGACTTGCAGTGGTTGAGTCTCTTCTTCCGAGTTTCACTGTCCATGATGGACCGCCAACCTGATTGTTATGAACGTAACATTGATTGGTTAGAATAAAAAAAAAATACTAACTATAGTTATGAGCATAAAAAAGTTTCTTCTTTTCATAGTGTGAAAAAGTGAATTTCACTTACGAGAGTTGATGCATCCCTAGCAGCAACTGCAAGTATGTCAGCACACGATACAATTCCAGGACATGTTTTCTCAACCTCTCTTTTTGCATCTTCTATAATACCAAAGCCTCTAACTGATCCAAGATTTGGCAGCGCAGTCTTCTCGCTGACAATCGTTGGAGTTTCATCAAGCAAGAGAGAAGCATCACAACCCTATAAAAGTTAAAGCCGCAAATTATTTATAATCAATTAGTATATATTATGCATGTCATCAAACCAATAGAAGTACTTAGATATATAAACATATAGATTAATGTATATATCTAACCTGAACAAAACAATCATGGAAATGAAGACGAATGAGGGATGCAGCCATACGACGTTCCCTTGAAATTGCTTGTCTTATACTTGTACGAATAGTGGTGAGAGCATTAGGGCAAGTTCGGTCGTAGAATGTGGAAGAAAGTTGTGCATGGCATTGCATGGTAGAGAGTAGAAGAAGAGAAAATATAGCAACAAAAGAGTTGTTTGAACTTGTCATTTTGAAATTAAAATGCAAAGTTTGTTGAAAGAATTATAGATGTTTATTATCTTTGTGATGTGTTGAGGGAATAATAATGTTTCACTCAAATATTTATAGGCATAAAAACACGTTATTTTAAATCTCTTTGGTCACTATTGGCTGCCAATTGCATAAAAACACGTCTTTGCTATTCTTTTGACTTGTTCTAATCTCTTTGGTCACTATTCGCTACCTATTGTTGTACTGGACTTGTAGGTGAAATGGATCCGTACCATGTGGGATGGGGTGGGGACAGGGCAATGATTATTAGGAATTCAAAAATATTGACATAAGCTTACAAATTATTATATATTAAAAAATTATTTTATATAAACAATCTATATCGAAAATCTAGTGTATAAAAAGAATTATGTGACATCTTACTTATTCCTAGCTACGGTTGTGTACTGGTCGATTCAGTTTGGTTTTGAAGTATATTAGTTCGACCCATCGATTATCAGATTGTAGAAATGCTAAACTGTTATAGAACTATTAAGATATTAGTTTATCGGTTATTGGTTTATTAGTTATTAATCATTATCGATTTAACTTTTAAGATTTGAAAAAAAAAATTTGAAAATCACTTAGAAACTAGGTGAGAAATCAAATGAACCATACACAGGAGTTGATCGACCGATTGTCTTTTCCTCAAAAGCAAACACTGTCACATTGTACAATAATCGTAAATTTGAGACAACCTGAAATAAAGATATGAAACTTAACTCTAAGTCGAGAACTTTATATACCGGATAGTACAAATATAATATTTTTTATTTACTATCGGGTTGTTAGTTAGCCCGTTAAGTAAAAACCTAAAACCGTTAGAATCGATAGCCCGACGAAAAAAAATTAAAATTGTTACCGAAATCGCTAATCCAATGATCCACTATCGATAAGTTAATAACTGTTTTTCAATTCAAACTATCAGTTTTGATTCGATTTTGAAACTATTCCTAAGTTCTGTCAAGCTAGAAAACTTCATGATTATATATTTTGTATTTTGTATTATAATGGAATGACATTTTCCAATAATGTAACATAGATTTGGTCATTACGTTGAAAGTTAACTGGTGATATCATCATTAGAATAAGAATTAGTGAAGCTCCAGCTAGCAAGCATTTACAGTAGAATATTATGCATGCATTCTTCAATATTATATATTCTGATTTTATTTTTTTAATTATTTTCAACATTATCAGAGTAATTTCAAATAAAGTTCAATACATTACAATTTAATATATATTTTTTATTTAACTTAATTATTAATATTATAACTTACTTGATTTGATATAAATATTAAGTTTAAAACAATTTTACTAGACACAATCTACAATATGCACCGTAATTTGCGAGTTAGTTTTTATCTTGTTACTTCATTCATTTTTGGTTGCTACACCATGTTACACCCCAAGTTAACGCGTAAGAACATGGCTTATAGTAAATAGAATATATTTTTTACTATTGTTGTTTGTTTAATTTATTTTGTTCAAAGTACAATTACATTATTTGAAAAAGGGGAAATGCTAAAATATATATGTCATCGAATTTTGAGAAAAAACTCATCTATGTCATTCGTTAAGTGTTTGACTTATCTATGTCATTTTAGTTAATAAATAATGGAATGAATGAGCTTTTTCTCAAACGAAAATGACATAGATAAGTTGAATTTTCAATGAATGACATATATGAGTCTTTTCTCAAAGTTCGACAGCATATTTGAACCTTTTATGTTTGAAAAAAGAACAAAATCACTCTTTATTCAATGATTTGACATTTTAAGAAACATTCAAGATCCAACTTTTGAATCGGAATTCGACCCCAACCTAAGACTTGACCCCGACTCCCGACCCCAACATCCGATCTGAGTACCGTGTGGTTTGATACTCACCCCTTGCTTCTACAAATTTTTGTAGGTTACGAGCCTGGATTTTTGTGGTACTTGTCATTCTCTTCTTTTCCAAGGCTTCTCGTGGAGGTTTGTGAGGTAGATGCTTGTCATTTCAGCGGACCTTCTTACTCCTATTTATGATCTTGTTCTATTCTAGAAACAATGTCATTTTAGACTTGTGTTTTCTTTTGAATCAATTGTAATACTTTAGAGGCTTGTACACGTGACAACCAGATTTTGGGGGTATTTTTGAGTTGATTATAAAATTTCCGCATTTTATTGTAATGATTGAGTTTTAGGCTGATTTGTCTTGGTGGGATAAGACGAGTGCCATCACATCCATTTTCGGGTCGTGACATTGATACTTTTAGACTGGTGGGTACGTACGGAGAAAGTGGATGCAGGCAACTTATGTAGAACACCACGCTATAAAAGTTGGACTTTGGAATAGCTAGTTAAACAGAAAGGATAGCATCTAATAGTTTAATGTCAAAATAGTTGTTATTTGACAAATGTGAGTATTATAACTATTTATGTAGTCAGACAATATCATCAATTCTTTGACATTGCCCTTTCGTACCAATGATTTGATGATATCCAATTTGTAGGATAAAATTATGAAATGTCAAAATCAATAGTCAATGGGATTAAAATATTACTTTGGGAGAACATTTCGTTTTCCATGCTCAATAAAATCTATTACGAATGAGAGTCATTTTAATTTGTTTTAATAATGATACCTATCATAGTCATTGCTTAATAATATTTTAAAATTATTTTAACAAGTTATGGATTACTGTAGTAATTTTTCTGTTGACTTCATTATGGTAGGGTAAAATTAAAAAAATATAATGATATAAATTTTAATTTATCGATTACAGTAATCGAAAAACTACAACAAAATTCCAATTGCACATTTATAGTCCAAGAATTTATAGTAATGTTATATATGCTGATAGTATAAAATTTATATATATTATCTTAAATTGAGATAAAAGATTAATTATCATTATAATCAATGTGTTTCAAAATATTTAAGTTTAATTATATATATTAAAAATGGAGCCAAGTAATTACACTGCTAAACATTAGCTAGAACTTAACTACTTCCTTAAAACATAACGAAGGTTTTATTTCATTATATTCCTGAAACAATACAAAAAATATATAGGGAAAAAATCAAATGAATACAAATAAGGTTAGCAATTATACAAGTAATAGGCTTTTGAAAAATCAATTTATAGCTCCACAAACAGTTCTTATGATCCCATTTTGACCAGTTAAAGGACTAATATCTCCCATTTTAATCATGGCTGCAGCAAAGTCAGAGGCAAATGCCCGAGGGCTATTGCTATATTCTAAAACAATATCATCGGTAGATCCTCCACTCATAAGAACTTGATCCGATTGAAGAAGACCTTTTCTTTGCCTCAAATTCTTGAAGTAGTTGTTATCCAATTGATTAGGTGTTACCAAATCAAGTGGAGCTAGGTTTCCATTTTGATCTTCTTGAGGACACTGACGTCTTCTAGTGCTAGCAAATCCAGCATCAATATTTGTTCCATTGCTATAAATTCTATCACGGAAAAGGAAGCATTGTGCTTGTCCAATTGAATGTGATCCTAGAATTAATTGGGAAATTTAAAAAGTTAGAACTTGTTATAAATATGTACAAATCTATATATGATCGATATCAATAGTTAGATCGAGTTTTACCTGATAAAGCAACCATATCCCTTGTGCTAAGGCCTTTGTTGGCAAAGCCAGAAATAAGCCTACTAAGAGGATCGAAAGGACCGGGAAGATCAGTTTCTGCAAGAGTATGACTTGCAGTGGTTGAGTCTCTTCTTCCGAGTTTCACTGTCCATGATGGACCGCCAACCTGATTGTTATGAACGTAACATTGATTGGTTAGAATAAAAAAAAAATACTAACTATAGTTATGAGCATAAAAAAGTTTCTTCTTTTCATAGTGTGAAAAAGTGAATTTCACTTACGAGAGTTGATGCATCCCTAGCAGCAACTGCAAGTATGTCAGCACACGATACAATTCCAGGACATGTTTTCTCAACCTCTCTTTTTGCATCTTCTATAATACCAAAGCCTCTAACTGATCCAAGATTTGGCAGCGCAGTCTTCTCGCTGACAATCGTTGGAGTTTCATCAAGCAAGAGAGAAGCATCACAACCCTATAAAAGTTAAAGCCGCAAATTATTTATAATCAATTAGTATATATTATGCATGTCATCAAACCAATAGAAGTACTTAGATATATAAACATATAGATTAATGTATATATCTAACCTGAACAAAACAATCATGGAAATGAAGACGAATGAGGGATGCAGCCATACGACGTTCCCTTGAAATTGCTTGTCTTATACTTGTACGAATAGTGGTGAGAGCAATAGGGCAAGTTCGGTCGTAGAATGTGGAAGAAAGTTGTGCATGGCATTGCATGGTAGAGAGTAGAAGAAGAGAAAATATAGCAACAAAAGAGTTGTTTGAACTTGTCATTTTGAAATTAAAATGCAAAGTTTGTTGAAAGAATTATAGATGTTTATTATCTTTGTGATGTGTTGAGGGAATAATAATGTTTCACTCAAATATTTATAGGCATAAAAACACGTTATTTTAAATCTCTTTGGTCACTATTGGCTGCCAATTGCATAAAAACACGTCTTTGCTATTCTTTTGACTTGTTCTAATCTCTTTGGTCACTATTCGCTACCTATTGTTGTACTGGACTTGTAGGTGAAATGGATCCGTACCATGTGGGATGGGGTGGGGACAGGGCAATGGTTATTAGGAATTCAAAAATATTGACATAAGCTTACAAATTATTATATATTAAAAAAATTATTTTATATAAACAATCTATATCAAAAATCTAGTGTATAAAAAGAATTATGTGACATCTTACTTATTCCTAGCTACGGTTGTGTACTGGTCGATTCAGTTTGGTTTTGAAGTATATTAGTTCGACTCATCGATTATCAGATTGTAGAAAGGCTAAACTGTTATAGAACTATTAAGATATTGGTTTATTGGTTATTGGTTTATTAGTTATTAATCATTATCGATTTAACTTTTAAGATTTGAAAAAAAAATTTTGAAAATCACTTAGAAAC